GCCCCAAATAAGACGAAAAAAAAACATCAAAATTGGAGAGAAAACTGAAAAAATTGTTTCTAACCTCAGGGATATTAACCCTTGGCTATCTTAGATTTAATGCAATCAGTATGCATCAGCATCAGGGTACAGCTCATTTGCATATCATTTGCATATTTTTACAAATACTCGAAATTTAGACAATTTCTGATAACAATTCAGCATGCCAAGGGTTAATATCCTTGAGGTTAGAAACCATTTATTTTCTGTTTTCTCTCCAACTTTGATGTTTTTTCGTCTTATTTGGGGCCTACAGAGGTTATCAAGGCTTTGGGATACGCTGGTTTGTTCAAAAACGCAACTCTCAACAAGAAACCAAATGACACAGAAATTAACAATTATAGGTCACCGTACGGCCTTCAACAATGATCACAGCCCATACCGCATAGTCAGCTATAAAAGGCCCCGAAATGACAAATGTAATACAATTCAAACGAGAAAAACTAGCGGCCTATTTTATGTACAAAAATAAACGAAAAACAAATATGTAAATTAAAGACTTGGGACAGACACATACATTAAGAATGTGGCGGGGTTAAACATGTTAGCGGGATCCCAAACCTCCCTCTAAGTGTGTAGGAATAGTTGTCCTGGGGAACAGTGGTTAAAAGAACTTGGGGTACAAAGTTTTAATAGGGCTTCAATGGGGAGGACGCTTGAAGAATCTCATTAAGAACGAACAATAGCAATACAGTTATAATTTGCATCAAGCCTCAGTAGTACATTAAGATTCAAGTGTGTACAAATGAAGGTACAGAGATCCGTGGGTCTGAGCACTATGAGTCCAAAGTTTAACATAGTCTTTATTGGGAAAAGCTTAAAATTCATCTTATTCAGAACCTGCAATGCCAAACATAATTAGAGGATCCAGGGAGCTTGAATTGCTCCCCTATTCAACTGGGTCTCATTTGACTTCATTATAAATAAAGTTCTAGTATGTGCAAGTCTGAGGTGCTAGTGAATAACTTTAATTAAGCTTGATCGCATAAAGTGTTCAATATTTAAAAAAAAAAAATGAATTTGTTTACGATACAAACTTTGCCTTTACTGGCGACCATTTTGAAATTCCTATCGCTTCAAAAGTGAAAAGTTAAACTATAAGGTTGTCGTTATTATCAGATAGCGGTCAGGAGTCTGTAATTCAGTGGTTGTCATTTGTTGCTGTGTTACATATTCGTGTTTCGGTCTTTGTTTGTACATTATTAAAACCGTTATTTTCACTCGTTTGAATTAAATTGTTGAACAGCTGTCATTTCGGGGACTCTCCCTCTGGTATCTTTCGTCCCTCTTTTAAAGCTGACTATGCGGGGGCTTTTCTCATTATTGAGGGTATTATGATGACCTATAGTTGCTTATTTCTGTGTCATTTAGTCTTTTGGCAATCATAATACATATTCTTTTATTCTTTTATATATATAGCGATGTCGTTTTTACGACATAGCTATGTCGTTATTACGACATAGCTATAGTGATGTCGTAATTACGACTTGTTATGTCGAAATTACGACATAGCGATGTCGTTATAACGACATGTTATGTCGAAATTACGACATATCGATGTCGTTATAACGACATGTTATGTCGAAATTACGACATAGCGATGTCGTTTAAACGACATGTTATGTCGTTTTAACGACATGTTATGTCGAAATTACGACATAGTTATGTCGTTATTACGACATGTTATGTCGTAATTACGACATAAATTTTTTTTTTTGAATGGCCCTTATCGGCTTCCGTACTTGGCAATCATAATACATATTCTTTTATATATATAGCGATGTCGTTATTACGACATAGCTATGTCGTAATTACGACATAGTGATGTCGTAATAACGACATGTTATGTCGAAATTACGACATAGCGATGTCGTTTTAACGACATGTCATGTCGAAATTACGACATATCGATGTCGTAATAACGACATGTTATGTCGAAATTACGACATAGTGATGTCGTTATAACGACATGTTATGTCGTAATTACGACATGCTATGTCGTAATTACGACATAATTTTTTTTTTTTGAATGGCCCTTATCGGCTTCCGTAGGAAAGAGACATACAATAGTCGACAAAACACTACACAGAAAACAAAACAAAAAAAATAGAGCAGCACGAATCTTTAAATCTAACTTAATGTCATTTCAAAGAGTGTGAATATGATTACAATTAGAGATAGGTCAATATCCCTAATGCGCCTCAAACTGAGGAACCAACTATTAATAGAAATAGAATAAACAGCTGCGCCATGAGCGCATGATACGCCCGTCGTCTTGTGTGTGAATTTTTATGCAATAAGCATAAATAGTTTTTGACATACGGCGTGACATGGGAAACCCCCCCCCCTTTTTTTTTTACAAAAAAACTCAATATCTCTAAAATAAAATTTTGAATCAAAACCAAAAAGTATACAGATCTTTAGATTAATATAACTAAGAAGTGTGTAAAATTTTAAGCAATAATAATAAATCGTTTTTGAGATATGGCGCGACATGTGAAAACCCCCCTTCAATAAAAAAATCAATATCTCAAAAATAAAATTTTGAATCAAAACCAAAAAGTATACAGATCTTTAGATTAATATAACTAATAAGTGTGTAAAATTTTAAGCAATAATCATAAATCGTTTTTGAGATACGGCGCGACATGTGAAAACCCCCCTTTAAAAAAAAAATCAATATCTCAAAAATAAAATTTTGAATCAAAACCAAAAAGTATACAGATCTTTAGATTAATATAACTAATAAGTGTGTAAAATTTTAAGCAATAATCATAAATCGTTTTTGAGATACGGCGCGACATGTGAAAACCCCCCTTTAAAAAAAAATCAATATCTCAAAAATAAAATTTTGAATCAAAACCAAAAAGTATACAGATCTTTAGATTAATATAACTGAGAAGTGTGTAAAATTTTAAGCAATAATCATAAATTGTTTTTGAGATATGGCGCGACATGTGAAAAACCCCTCCCCCTTTTTTTACAAAATACTCAATAACTCAAAAATAAAATTTTGAATCATCACCAAAAAGTATACAGATCTTAAGGTTAATATAACTAAGAAGTGTGTAAAGTTTTAAGCAATAATCATAAACTGTTTTTGAGATACGGCGCGACATGTGAAAAACCCCTCCCCCTTTTTTAACAAAATACTCAATATCTCTAAAATAAAATTTTGAATCATCACCAAAAAGTATACAGATCTTGAGGTTAATATAACTAAGAAGTGTGTAAAGTTTTAAGCAATAATCATAAATTGTTTTTGAGATACGGCGCGACATGTGAAAAAAAACACACACCTGTTTTAGTTATTAAGTCCCGTAACTCAAAAAGTTTTAATCTTATTTTCACCAAAAAGTATACAGATCGTTTGACCATCATAAGAAACAACTATGTTAAGTTTCATGAAATTTGGATAAGTCATTCTCAAGTTACGGTGCGACATGTTTACGCCGGACAGACAGACGGACAGACAGACTGACGGACACCGGACATTTGTATAACATAATACGTCCCGTCAAAAATTGACGGGCGTATAAAAACTTTTCTCTAATTCTTCGTCAATTTATCCCTTTCTGCACCCATTGTATAAAAAAAATTTAATCAACGTGTGGTTCGTTTGATCTCAGTTCTTCATTGGTTAAAATCCGATTATGACGTCGAATTTTCTTGCTTTCCTCTGAATTTCCTATTGTGACGGCATGAAAAAAGGCGACCATGCCTGATGACGTCACGTAGAAAGAACACATCTTTTTGCAAATCATTCGAAAAGAAGGAATAAATTTGCCTGCGTATTGTTTGAAAATCATTAGAGAAACAGATTCCACCACCAAATCTCGTGTAATACGATATTTATCCACTCTCGACAGTTAAATTTTAAATATTTAAAACGCTCGGCGAGCCTCGCGTTTTAAATTTGAAAATTTAACTGTCTCGAGTGGATAAATATCGTATCACACTCGATGCAGTGGTAGAATCTATATATATGCAATGATATTGGGCATGATGTTATTTTAAGTATTTGACTAGGCTTAACCATTTGTGCTTTTTTAAATGAGCAGAAGACTGTACAATAAAGATGTTAAAACTTTGGAGTTATTAAATGTTTGTAAAGAACTGAATTTTCAGAGAATTTAACTGTGTGGACTTGCTGAGGCCGAATCACATGGGGCCTTTCGGGGTTTACCAATCCGTGAAAACATTTAATCCGAAAATTTAAACACATCTGTGAAAAATGTTTCAGCTTCAAAACGAGCCATGATACATATCCAAGTTTACGATATGGACAGATGAATGGAAGACAAGGCCACTATTATCGCCTACCTGAAATGAATTGCGCATATTGACCCAGATGTGATGTATACGTTAATGAGACAACAACCCAACGACTAAAAAACCCAAAGGACGGAAACTTACAGTCTTCAATAAAAGACATGAGTCATTACAGTACGTCAATATCTAAATCATTCCGAATCTATAAAGGCTGTTCGTCAATTAAACAGAAACAGTCAATGATCTACCACGCCCATTTCTCAAAATAAAAAAAAATATTAAGATATAACATTCGAAAACTACTGACTTGGTTCTTGACTTAGGCCCGGGACATGAAAATGTGCCAAGGTTGGAATATATTACTTTGATTAAGATCTCAACCCCCCTTTTTTATTAGTGTTTTGTTTATTATTTTAGTCGTTCAAACACAACAACAGTCATGCGGTACACAGAAAGTGTAAGTATTTGTACATCAATACTAGTAGTCTACATGTTTATGTTTTGATTGTTAGAACATGTTTGGTTTAAAGCAAAGAAGTACTTAGGGTAAATTTCATCTGAATTTATTTCAGACCAGACATTTAAAAAAAAATCCATCATTTACTACAATTCACAGTATGGCAACCTCATGTGTGTTCATTGAGGTTTCAACAACATTATGATGCATTTCTAGGGAACTAAATTTTGAGATGGCTGAAAAACGCACATTTGTAGATTTTGTCAAATTTCAAGTAATTATCTCAAAAATGAATTAGAAGGACCTTCTTCACAAAATTAAAACAAACAGGAAGCGGTTTTTCAGATATAAATCAGTTTATGTTTATTGAGAATTTCCTTCAATTCCAAATTTAAGGAAAACATGTCAAATAAGCTCGTTTCATTTTAAATGTTTTTTCATGCATTCCATTCACTAACAGGTACTTTTTTAATTTCAGCACAAACTATCATGAAGATATCGTTCAACTACGTAGTGACTTATTAAACCCCGCGCGAGGTTTTTATCAGGATTCATTGACCTCGGCCAGATATTTCCATCCTTTGACGGTATGAAAATATTTTTTTAACAATTTGCAAGCAAGATATTTTTGTTTCATATGACAAAAGACTGTGTTCTGTCCCAATTAGTAAAAATGCAAAAACATCTGCTAGTTTGACACATTTATCCGTACAATTATGTGTAAATGTACCAGATATACTGTAAACCAACTAATTTTCGCGAGCGATTTATTTTCTCGACTTTCGCGAGCAGAAAAATAACGCGAATATAAATCGTCGCGAATTTGTAAACCTTGGATTTTTCCTTATTTATCTACATCAAGTAAATTTGAGAATCGCGAAATTCAATCGCCGCGAAATGGGCTAGAAAGGGCTAAACGCGAAATAAAGTATCCGCGAAAATAAGTTGGTTTACAGTATCACATTACAGATTAAAACAGACCTAATATATAGGAACCACTCAACTGGAACTCTCAATTTTACTTACTAAGTATCACCTCAGGATCAGAGCATTAACAAAAATGACTAGTGTAAAACAATTCAAAAGTTCTCATTCTGAGTTGATTTTTCAAAAGCAAAATTTATACTTCAGTTGTCCTGCAGGTTAAAAAAACGAATAAATGTACATATGTGTCGTTGGGTAGATGTCTTATTGACTCCACATCCCCTCTTATATAAACTTTCAGATTACGTGTGATAATTAAGAATACAACAAATAACCATATTATGTTTAAAAGTTTTAATCATTTTCGCAACTTGTCATTGTAGAAAGATCATCTAGCATGTCTCCGTGATAACCAAGGTTCCAATCTGATGTTGAGGATGTATAGTTTAAACGAGTTCGCTGATGGAGCTCCCATCACACAAGATTTCTTACAGAAACTTGAACAGGATTTCAAAGCAGCTAAAGATGCCGGGTGGAGTCTTGTTCTCAGATTTATGTATCAAAATGTAAGTTACTTATTGATTTTTTAATATATTTCTGTAAAGTATACAACAAAATGATTGATATATTTAATATATGTTGTCAACATAATGAAATTCTATGCGACTGTCATACAAGTGAGAGGTTTAGCTAGCTACAAAACCAGGTTTAATCCACCATTTTCTACATAAGAAAATGCCTGTACCAAGTCAGGAATATGACAGTTGTTTTCCATTCGTTTGATGTGTTTGAGCTCTTGATTTTGCCATTTGATAAAGGACTTTCCGGTTTGAATTTCCTTGGAGTTCGGTATTTTTGCTATTTTACCTTTTATCAGTACTACCGGAGACAAAGGTTATTGTGGTATGTACTTTATTATCTTAACCCAAGATCACGGCCGTCACTCGGCTAACCGAGAGATTGGTCGGTTAATCTATATTGAGTATGCGGCTATATCGGCGGTTGGTCTGTTAATTGGGTTGGCTAAAGTCTGTTAATCAGGTGTTATCGAGAAAATACTTGCAAGTTCAGTATGTTTCATTGTATAACTTTTTAAATATATTTTTTATCATAAAAATTATTCATGTCTGACAAAACAGTTCAATGTACTGAATCCAGTGGTGTAATTATTTTTTTTCTAGCTTCGATAAACAATCAATAAAATGAAAAGGCGGGGTACTCATCAATAAATTTATACACATTTTACACACACAAAATGTACACAAAATGACAACTTGGCTGAATTTACTTGCATGTAATATTTTGAACATCGAAAAAAGACAGGCATTATGTTTGTTAACCATATTAATATCATTGTGTGAAAAATCTACACGAAAATCTGTATTTTGGTGATATTAATCAATTTTTATTAAAAACCTGGTCTGTTAATGGGTCGGATGTATAAAACCCGGTCTGTTATTTGGTCTGTTAAGAGTTATGAATGGCAATAAAAATATAATTTGATTGCTTTATGGGGAATTATCGGATCAAATGGGTAGGCTCAAGACGAGTGGCTAAAATATACGGAAACAACACATGAACAATGAAACATAAATTTAGACAATGGAAATTGGAAATTGATAAAAATGGTTTCAAAAAGTGTAATATTAAAGTAATATTAATTTCATTCAAGAATGGTCGCATATATCATGTGAATTCTGTTTCGTTGTTATGAATGACACCAATTTGTCATCTACATTGGTAACCAGTATATACATCATTTTTATAGTTCGTTCTTAGTTGTACTATTATACCACTGTCCCAGGTTAGGGGAGGGTTGGGATCCCGCTAAAATGTTTAACCCCGCCACATTATGTATGTATGTGCCTGTCCCAAGTCAGGAGCCTGTAAATCAGTGGTTGTCGTTTGTTTATGTGTTACATATTTGTTTTTCGTTCATTTTTTTTTAATATATAAATAAGTCCGTTAGTTTTCTCGTTTGAAATGTTTTACATTGTCATTTCGGGGCCTTTTATAGCTGACTATGCGGTATGGGCTTTGCTCATTGTTGAAGGCCGTACGGTGACCTATAGTTGTTAATTTCTGTGTCACTTTGGTCTCTTGTGGAGAGTTGTATCATTGGCAATCATCTGTTTTTTTATATCAGAGATAAACGTCGTAATGTAACTAAACATCAGTAAGTAAAATATATTGGGATGCTAAAATATAAAGAATAGAGAAAGAATAATGAGAAAAATAAATAAAATGTAGAGAAAAGTGACATAACAATTTAAAGAATACAGATAAATACAACACCCCCAATCCGGATCCTCATGGTATACACGAGAATCTGGATGGAGACGCAGAATATAGAATAATAGATAAGGACAGTAGAGAGTGATGCATTGCTAAAAAAGAGAACAAAATAACAATTGTTTAAGAATACAGACATGAAACACCCCTTTTTACTATTTAGACCCTCCAAGATGATTGTTAAAACAATTTTGGCATTTATTCCACATCTCCTTATTTTTAAATTAATAGTATAGACAACGATATCTATATAGATGCTTTGCAATTTTTTTACTGTATTATATCACTTTATGTTATTTGAGACTGGAGTCCGATAAACATTGGCCCCCTGTCAACCGCTGAATCTGATAGCTCAGTAAATATTGTAAAGTGCAAACAAAACAAAATTTCAGGGGGAGGGGGTGGTTGAAACAGTAATGGATTGCGATGTACTCAAATTGGTGACAAATGCTAGAATTTTACAAGCGCACAACTGCAGTTCTCCTCTGCACTTATGTAGAAAGGAACTAAACGGAATAAAATGAATTAAAAATTAAGATAATCAAATGTAGCTGCATTCGCTTCTTTCCATTTACTAGTACTTCTTTAGAATGTTTTGTAAACAACATATGGTTAAGTAATAGAACAAAAGAACCAATTGGATGATGCTGACGAACTAGGGATTAACGTCCAGTGGCAAATATCATGTCCATATGAGAACGACAACACGTTATATGTACCCGGTGTTGTATAAGACAGACACTTTCAGTCGGATTTTTGAACGTGCTTCTTTGAACAGACACAAAAATCAAGGCTGATTGAAAACGTTAATAATAAATTCATGCATATTCCAGCGGCCAATCCATATCACGCTATATTGCAGTGACACACCTTTCAATAAAATGCAAAGAAAGTCAAAATAAAAATTCTCTTACTACAAGGATACTGTTGCACCGTATTGTCATTTTTTTTTACTCAAGTACATCTCATTCTTAACTTTTTTAATGGGAAATTATAAAGGTAGCAAAACTATTGTCGTGGCTAAATAACTCTTAACTGACAATTTTAATTGTCCAACCCATTAACAGACTTTATTCCCCTAATAGTCACTAAAACGTGGTATTACTCACGTTATATTACAATTTTGAAATATTTACTAATGTCAATTTATTATTTAGAACCAAAGTACTATTTAGTGTCCTTTAAATGATATCTAAAATTGTTTGTTTCGCCTTTTATTAAAACAATTGCTATGCGTATAAGCATAAACACCACATACTTGCGCGACGCCTTTTAGTTTTACTGAAGTTTGCGCAGACTATGAAATGTTTTTACAGGTGGAAAATGTTCTATGATAGATATCATTTTGTCAGACACTTTTCTTTTTTTTATTTGGTTCTTATAATATGCCAAAAATCTGTATATTTAACAGAGTTGAACATTTAAATTGTGCGTTTTACTCTTAACAGACGTATAACCGACCTGATTAACAGACCAACCGCCCATATAGCCGCATACTCAATATAGATTAACCGACCAATCTTTCGGTTAGCCGAGTGTCGGCCGTGAAGATAGTACACTTCTAAAACCAGTTTGCGGAATCTATAAGACGCACGGCTTGGCTTTTGTTTTTTTATTTTTCTATGATCAAATTTTTTACATCCAAACAAAGTCAATTCAACAAATTGTTTAACATGTTTGAGACATTAAATAAACGCATGCTTAACTGATTGACAATGAAGATTTGTAATAAGATTCCCCCCCCCCCCCCCTGGATGTCAAATATTAATGTCGAGACAATAAACATACTAGTAGTATCATATCGTTTCAATGTTGGCGCACGGCATGACTCTCGTTTTTTGTTTTTTTGAATGATCAAATTTTGTACATCCAAACAAAGTCAATTCAACAAATTGTATAACATGTATGAGACATTAAATAAACGCGCATGCTTAACTGTTTGACAATGAAGATTTGTAATAAGACCCCCCCCACATGAATGTCAAATATTAATGTCGAGACATTTTACATACCGTAGTATCGTTACAATATTTGTTTCGCTTCTCTATTAACCCAGAGCTTGGATACACAGTATAACCCTCAGTCAGAACCAACAATAGCTCAAATCAAGGAACATATCAAACAGCTAGCACCTGTTATTGCTCGTTACGATGGCGTTGTGGTAGCTGTTCAAGCAGGTTTCCATGGGGAATATGGTATGATAGCATCGAAGTTTGCATTATATATTTATTGTCTACCATAATTTTACCTTAAAAACAAGAAGTAAATAATACGATACTGTATACAGGGAAGTTTTATTTTCGATATTTTCACGAAAAAAGAGTTGCTACGCGAAAATAAAACTACCGCAAATGAGTCATGGAAACTTGGTTCATAGGATCAAGACCGTACAAAAATAACTACCACTGAAATCGCGAATTTGAATTCAGTCGGCGAATAGCGAATAAAAGACGGCGAAAATTTTCCGATTCACAGTATACATATGCTGATTTGTACCTTTCAATTACATTTTCAAACGTCTATGTGAACTTATGTTTCACGAAAATCAAAATCGACAAAGAACATGAACCTTTAAAAGATCGAACTAGTTCAAAAACAGAATTGGGGATGTCATGGGTGCAAATTCAAAAACCATTTTAAAGAAAGGACAGAAAAACTATGACTAAACGAACAACGGCGAAAAAACATATCGGTCCAAAAACAACACCTCACAGAAAACGGCGAAAGGACTTACACCGTCCCAATACAGCGCCTCACAGAAAAAACCGGCGAAAAGACATACACCGGCCCAAAGCAACGCCTTACAAAAAACGGCGAAAAGACACATACCGTCCCAAAACAACGCCTCACAAAAATGACGATAAGACACACACCGGCCCAAAACAACACCTAAAAAAACGACGAAAAGACACACACCGGCCCAAAACAACCCCTCACAAAAAACGACGAAAAGACCCACACCGGCCCAAAAAAACGCCTCATAAAAAACGTCGAAAAAGAAACACCGGCCCAAAACAACACCTGAAAAAAAACGATGAAAAGACATACACCGGCCCAAACAACGCCTCACTATAAACGACGAAAAGACATACACCGACTCAAAACAACGTCTCACTTAAAACGACGAAAAGACATACACCGGCCCAAAACAACGCCTCACTAAAAACGACGAAAAGACATACACCGACTCAAAACAACGACTCACTAAAAACGACGAAAAGACATACACCGACCCAAAACAACGCCTTAAAAAACGACGAAAAGACACATACCGGCCCAAAACAACGCCTCACTAAAAATGTCAAAAAGACAAACACCGGCCCAAAACAACACCTCACAAAATACTACGAAATGACATACACCAGCCCAAAACAACGCCTTTAAAAAAAGGCCAAAAAAAGACACCGACCCAAAACAACGCATCACAAAAAAAAAACGTGAGTTTAAGCAACATCAAACCTGCTAAATTCAGGGGATGAACTCAAATGCTCCAAAAACAATTATTGCTCCACCAGTAACACCCGACCTGTCGCTTATTGTAAGTAACTTACGGCGATAAGTCTAAATTGCTTTGGGTTAAGCTATAATTTAAACTGACAACTGTAATGAAAATGAATCATCAGTGGTAATGTGAAAACAGAGATTTGTTTGCACAGACTATGACAGATATATGAATAGTAATCTACATGACTAAAGCTGAAAGTTATTTTTTTATATAGTATTTGAAGGAATAAGGCAGTGGGTGCAAACATAAATAAATTTATGATTTTTTAATCAAGGATTATGCTATATTTATTTGAATCCTTGTCAAGAACTCGGTTATTTACGTGTTTAAATGTTGATCGATATGTGGTGATCTCGAGGTGGTATCCGAATGACATTAAAAGGTTTAAATTTCTGCTCCACTGGTGGCACACGTTTGTTTAAATGTTCCATTCGTTTCACCCTACTATAGTGGTATTATAGATATTCAAACTAACAAAAGTTTAAATGCATTTGTATTTACGACAACAGAAATTCGATCAGTTTTGTGTCCTGTGATAGGTTTTAAGTTGATATTCTGAGAAGGACCGCTTGATTTTCATATTTATCTTGGAAGATTTTATTTTCAAATTCAGACTGGACCACTTTTACAGTACTGCAATTTTCATTGAACACCTTTACAAAATGCCACCTTATATTTTAAATTTACCAGGTTTATGGTACACACCTGGAACAAACAGTACAAAACAAGATACAGCTATAATCGATACGCTACTCACAGAACTTCCATCAACAATGTAAGTGTTCGAATATATATATAGGTATTCACAAGACGTGTGTAAGTAATCAACTTTGTAAGAAATCACAAATGTACGAAACCAACAATGTAAGTAATCAACAACGCAAACAATCGACGATATAGGTATTCACAAATGTGAGTAATCGATGACTTAATCAATCAAAAATGTAATAAATCAACAATGTAAGTAATCGACGACGCAATTCATCGACGCTGTAAGTAATTAACGATGACGTTATGACGACGAATGTTATCACCAATGTATGAAATCAACACTGTAAAAACACAACAATGTAAATAATCGACGATGAAAAGTAATCATCAAAATTAAGTAATTGTTAATGTAAATGATCAACAGTGAAAGTAATAATCACTAGAATTAATCGAGGATAAAAGTAATCGAAGATGTAAATAATAAACAATGAAAATGATCAACGATGTAAGTAATCGATAATTGAAATACTTAAAAGTATAAATAATCAGCAATATAAGCAATCAACAATGTAAGTAATCACTAATATAAGTAATCGACAATGTAAGTAGTCAACAATGTAAGTAATCAACAAAATAAATAGTCAACAATATAAGTAATTAACAATATAAGTAATTAACAATATAAGTAATCACCAATATAATTAATCAACAATGTAAGTAATCACTAATATAAATGATCAACAATGTAAGAAATCAATAATGTAAGTAATCAATAATGTAAGTAATCAAATGTTTAGGAAATCAACAAAGTAAGTAATCGACCATGTAAGTATTCAACAATGTAAGTAATCAACGATTTAGGAAATCAACAATGTAAGTAATCAACAATATAAGTAATCAACTAATAAGTAATCACCAATACAGGTAATCAACGATTTAGGAAATCAACAATATATGTAATCGACAATGTAAGTAATCACCAATGTAAGTAATCACCAATGTAAGTAATCAACAGTGTGAGTAATCAACAATGTAAAAGTGTAAGTAATCACTAACATCAGTAATCGACAATATAAGTAATCAAAAGTGTAAGCTGTCTTGTAACTAGAAAGTCCAATACTGTCGTCCAAGGACGACAACTCACTGTACCCACGAACGGATAATACCATGACGTATTTAATTATACTGGTGATAAAAGATTACTTGAAATATGAACATATGCATTCGTAATGACTCCTATACAATACAAGTAAAAATGTCATAGACGGATATTAATCCGAAACTAAAAATGTTCTACGCATAAAAAAAATAGCTCTTAACAAACTATAATAAAGAGAATAGTAATTAAAGGTTTGGGTAGAATCCTACTTTTTATCATACTGATTAAGTATAGGTGGTGGATTACTGTTTTTGAAATTGGAATATCTCAATAGGTTTTTATTGTAATAATTTCCAGTTCATACTGGATTATACTGGTCATATGAGCAATATTCTGCTGTAAGGTAGATGGCTTTTTTACGCAACAGGTTGTGCAAAATTGTCAGATTTTGTATAGATTATGCTTGAAAAACCCAAATTTGTGTGATATAAAGAAAACTTAACCATAGAATTTTAACATAAAGTATGAGGAGATAGCTTTAATGATATGCTTTCAGATAAGAAAAAGAAAAAAATTTGGGTCACTGGACTCGATTTTTTGCTACATAATAAAATAGGTAATTTAATAACACAATTCTATTATAAAAGTTACTTTATTTGAGTTATATCCCCCATGTGGCAAAGTATAAAAAAAAAATGAATAAAACAAAATTTTCCGTTTTTTGTAAAATACAGTCGTAAAATATGATAAAACACATAATTTTCTATATTAACATGAAAAGTCTTACACATGAATTACACACTACTCTCGAAATTTGCACATTTCAATAAAGATCTAGACCGATTGTTCACTGCTATTTCAAAATCCAAGATGGAGGAAGACCATTAGGGTCGTGCTTTTTTCATAATAAATTGGGTCATTCCGAACTTCTTGAAAACAAAATTGTCTCAGAAAGGAAGTGAAAAACCCTTTTTCGTCTGTCAAGAATTTGATCTTAATTTAGAATAAAAGAAGGGGAGAAAAATCCATCAGTCAAGTAAAAACAGACAACACCTTAGCAGCATTAACATAGGTGAAAACACAGAAAAGACAGAAGATTCCAACAAACCACCACATGGAATACTAAAAATTAGAGAACACGAACTCCGACAAAAGGTGTCCTTTTCTTGAATTAAATCGCCAGTCAGAAAGGAACTATAACTTAGTATATCTTACAAACAATATACCGGTAGTTTCGTATAATACAGAATACTTTACCATGAATGAGTTCGTAAAATGGAAGACGTAATAGTATGATCTGTATCAACAGTTTTCGAAAAAAAAAAACTTTACATAATTTTCATAACTTTTCCAGGCCAGTGCAAGTTGCTCACCCGGACTACAAGACAACTTCCGGAAAGAGGACAATAGAAAGGATAGGTAAATAAAATAATTTCAACTTTTATACAATATTTTGTCAACCATCGGACTTTTCCGTCAGATACCAGACTGGTTGTATTCTGTTTAACTTCGTTAAGGTGGTACCTAACACTACAGGGAGATAACTCTGTAAAAATCAGCTAAACGTTTTAATCATGTTGTATTGTTAAGGAAATATCAAGATTCTTAATGATCAAAATTAGTGTTTGTCAAACTGCTATATAACCAGTGAAATTTTTCTGATAAAGTGGTTGGTTCAAATTATTTGAAATTTTTATATTTTTGTCAAAGGGTCAAAGTAAACATTTTGTCAAATTTTTAGGAAAATTAAACGAGCCAAATTAGTATTAGTCAAGGTGTTGGGTACCACCTTAAGCTATCATCTAAAGATAATAATGAGGCTCAATATTATGTAGACGTCGTATATTTTTTTAAAATGGATACTTTTATAATATTACATAGGGTATTGGAGGTCATATTATCTTCAAGTGCTGGTAAACAGTAAACGTTTGAACTCACTACTTAAAATAATTTTTAGAAGTGGCAGTCTCGGCTAATGTTAGTTTCCTTGCAATCAGAAACAAGGACAAAGCTTATTTCGGTGTTCTAAGAAGCCGAACTACTGTATCACTAGCCTGTCAACACTCAGTGAGGTTGTGAGTTCGAATCCCGCACGTGACAGGTGCGCTCGACTCCAATCTTAATGACTAGAATTGTAAGTTTTCCTACCGAAGGATGGTGGTTCTCTCCGGGCACTCCTGCTTCCTACACCAATAAAAACTTACCGCCACAAAATAGCACAATAGTGCTGAAAGTGGCGTTAAACACCAATCAATCAGTCAATCAATCAATCAATCAATCAATCAATCAAGCAATCCTTACAATCAGAAGCAAGGACAAAAAATCCTCTTATGCACATCACATAAAAGGTTGATTTTCACATCTGTCTCATTATCTATTTTAACGACAGGTCACTTCCACGAATGTCTGTTAGAAGGTGACACCAATGATCTTAAACATGCCTTTCCGGACCTCTCTACCGATACTGGTGCCTTGTCTTATCTGACGAAAGATACGGAAACCAGTGTTATTGGAGGGAAAACATGTCACCCAGGGGACACTTCAAATCCACCTAGGTACAAATTTCGAGCAAACGATATTTTTTTCAGACAATCTATGAGAATTCTGCTGGTAGCAAATTTTAATTTTGATTTTACTTCTTATTTATATGAATTATTTTATTTCACGCTTAAAAGGGGAACATTTATTTGAGTTCATCAGACTACATGTACTTGTTCACATCATATATCTTATACGCTTTCAATAAATTCAACTTTACCACATTTTAATTGTTTCATTTATTTGGTGTTAAGATTAAATGTGTTGTTTTATAAATAGAACACTTTCAGAAAATTAGTACAAGTAAGAGCAAGCTGCTTCATCTGCTTGCAACACTTTTTTCTAATCTGTTTCAGGAATTTATGTATCGATTCAGAGAAGTTGTTCAAAAGTCTCCACTTAACTTACCTTAATATAAATGACCCAGATGAGACTATAAGAAACTACAAAAGAAATGGTTGTTTTAAAACACTCTCTGACGTCATGGGGTACCGACTCGCGCTGGAATCAGTAAGTATTACGTACCAAGTATGATATAGATATAAGCAGGCGCGACCTTTCTGATTTATTGACTATTTAACACAAATTTAAGCACTTTTGGCTATAGCAAGGCGGCGAATATTTACTGATTGAGGAAGCGGGTATACACGGAGTCAACTACCGACCCTCGGCAGGAAAACTGGAAGTTCTAGTTAATTAATATCGTAGTTAAACACAAAGACTATATCAATCGGTCACCGAGGTCCCCTTGCGACCTTTCAGTTTTCGCTTAACTTACTAGTTGGGTGTATCGATGAAAACGACGACGACGTATATGACGACGCAATGATTGATGATGATGATGATGATGATGATGATGATGATGATGATGATGATGATGATGATGATGATGATGATGATGATGATGATGATGAAGACTACAACGATGCTGAGGAAGACGACAACGACGATGATGATGACGATGACAACGATGACGATGATGATGACGACGACGACAATGACGATGATGACGACAATGACGATGATGACAACGACGACGATGATGGCGACGACGACGATGATGACGACGATGATGCTGATGATGACGATGACGACGACGAGGAGGAGGAGGAGGAGGAGGACGACGACGACAACGATGATGATGACGAAAACGATGACGATAATTATGATGATGTTTTATTTTTCTGTTTTTAAGGTGACCCTTCCAGACAACGTTAATGTAAATACTCCAGTATGTGTTGGTATTACACTATTAAACAGAGGATATGCTTCTCCGTTTCGTCAATACAATGTATCGATTGTTCTACAAAATAAAGTCAATAAAAGGTATTTAAGAATCAGAGCTTTATGAGGGTCTTGTAGGGGTTTACAGAATAAAGAATACTGAGGAAAATAGAAAAACAAGACCAAAAAAGAATAAAAAAAAACAAGCTCAAGAAATAAGGAATAGAGAATAATATGGTGCTAAATTATACAGAATAGAAAATAATATGGTGCTTGATTTGAAGAATAAAGAATAAAGGGCACAATTAATAATGTTATTCTAAAGGCAGTGATTTTCACATCCTAGTTATTTGTAAGAAATTGTGCCATTATTGTTTTTTGTTTGATCTTTTTCTACATTGATTCATGTTTTAATCGTACAGCTTTGTATATGAAGCTGACATTCCGACAGATACGACTAGATGGCTACCAGGAAGTGATATACATCTGAAAACAACCTTTAACCTTCCAGCTAACACTCAAACAGGAACGACATACGAGGTGCGTTTTTCTCATATAACATTCCATCTTTTTTGTTCGCCACTGACGTAAATATATTTGACTTGATACATTGGGACTTTTGATACAAACTATTGGTTTGACTGTTTTATGTTTCGTAGGTTCTTTATTGGTTTTCCAAGTTTCCCCTTTTCTGTTTGTTCTCAAATCTTGACGTTTAAAACTGTTGTCCCTGTGCGATCCTATTTGGTGTTTAATCAAGATCAAGTCTTCGACAGAACCTCATCGCTATTTATTTTTACATCTTTTATACATATGCCTTATATATGAAGCAGTCAGTATGCAGGGATCAAATATCAATGACTATTTTAATGTGCCGTTTAAAACTTACAAGCATATATTAAAGTTCAACTTTAACTTCAAATAGGTTATCTGATATAAAAGACTTTTGTTTGTATTTAGCTTTCTTTATTGCTATACGTCAGGTACATCAGTCCTGTTCTGGAACTATTTGAATAATCTTTTTGTAAATTTCTTGCTTATTCTGCTTAAATAAGGTTGCAATTTCCTCGGTTAAAGTTGATGGACAACAATTTTGGCTGATTTTTTTATACTCTGTTGGTTTTTCATCCAATAACTTTATATATTTGACTTTCCAAACTCAAGATCACGGTGACGAGTCTGCCTGATGAAGATTACTCAAAATCATGTGTTGTGCGTGGGGAAAGTATATATCGTTTACCTTTTATTCTTTGTCTTAATAATAATGATAATAAAATAATTTATGATATTCTGGATCTTCACTGGTGATATGGACTCATATTCCCCATCAGTGTTTTATATCCCCAGGCATAAGGAATTTAGGAAGGATACTGACAGGGAATACGAGCTATGATCCTAAATAACAATTATATTAAACTAGAATGTCCCGATTTTAACATTATTTACCGATCTTCGTTTTTGTTCAAAGGGTATATCGGCTCATGCACTCTGTCAAGGTAACCAATCAAATTGCAGGATTAGCCAAGATATTTCACACCAGTATAATAGATTTTAATAAATTTTCTTTATTTTAACATAGGTATACTTGAAGATTTCCGAACCAAAACTCGGCGATAACCCCGATTACAATGTTGTATTAGCAAATTCCAAGTTATCCCCAGTTAATGGACTGAACAGCTTAGGGTCTTTTCAGGTAATATTTATTGCTAGATTTATTGGTGTGTCTGGTAAACGGGTAGTTTCCTTTCCCTAAATTTGATAACAATATCCGTAGGTTGAATGTAAAATTAAAAATAGAAAACAGATTAGAAAGACAAGGAAAATTTATTTTCTCCTATTCTTCAAAAGAGCTGCCCCTGTGCTTCGAAGAACATTTTCTATTGAATTAAAGATGTAAGACTTTTGCAATCTTTTACACATAATTTTAACATTGTTTACAGAAGTCTTGTTACAATTATTGAAGGCGTGTAATGCCGCCAAATATTCTTATTTTTTTTCTCGAAAAAAGTCAGATTTACATATAGCATGTTGACAACAAGTTTAACACATTTTTTGTATTCAAAGTCTGTTGTAATAAACATTTAAAAAAATGAAAACACAGTGGCGGATCCAGAACTTTTCATAAGGGGGGGGGGGGGGGGGGGGGGCGCTGACTGACCTAAGGGGGGCCCGCTCCAGTCATGCTTCAGTGATTCCCTATATAATCAACCAAATTTTTCCCACGAAACGGGGGGCCCGGGCCCACCAGGCCCCCCCCCCGGAACAGCCTATGCAACAACACGTTATTAATTTCATGAGTCCGAAGCGCTTTTCTGGAATTACCTTCATCAGGAACGCTCAAAGCCGAACATTTGAAAGCGAAGGATGTATACAAAGTATCATCTGTGTTCAAGCTATATTTAACGTGTTTTTATAATGAAGGAAGACCATTCTACATGAAATATATTAATTGTTAGGTTGTGGCTTCCAGTACAATACATCCAACTTTTGCACCGACGTCAACACTGAAAACATGGACACTTCCTAAAGTATCAACCAATCCACGAACGTGGCATCAAGGTAATACAGTCAAATATGCTATAAAGGTCACCTCTCTTAAGGTATAACCTGTCCTGGCAGGTCACCTTCTATTTTTCCCGCTGTAGCAATACCGATGCATTCCGAACTCAATTATACCTATGGGTTTTGAACCTCAGTTTAATTGCCACCTCTATTGTAAGGTCGGTTTCCTCCAATGATGCTCTCTATATACAGGATTGACTGTAATGTAATTCAACCAGGAAACCCTGTTAGACAAACCAAGGGGACACATTGTTGATGCATAAAAACTGAACAATGTGAACATGTGTTCGTGAGAAGTGCAGAAAATGGACGGACTAAACGTCACGTGATTATAGTAAAAACCAATAATATTATTTCCGTGCGTGACGTGTGTCTGAAAAAAATCCTCATCGTTTTTCGTTCGAGACCAATAGACAGCCAAACTATGATTGCCTAAGTCAACCGTGCCTTATGGAAATTCGCAACAGCCCTTAACATTAGAACAATATCATACTAAATTTATAAACTCGATAACTACCGACAAAATATATCATTAGAAACACGCCAAAATGTTCTGCCTGCACAACTCTGTCTGAGATAACCTCCAAGACTAAATGTTGATTCCAAAAATAGTATTAAACGTTGGAGTGACCAAACACCAAACATGCATAAACAGAACAACAAAAACCGTATTAGTTCAACTTTGTCTTGAGCTAGGAGTGTATCAAATCAAAGAGAGATTGAGCTAGGAGTGTATCAAATCAAAGCGAGATTGTCTGCTCTATTTCTAAAAAGTATTGGCACTCATACCACATCTTCTAATATCTATATATGAATATGAACAGAAAACAGAACTATGAATTAATTGTAATGATAATTATGAAATATGCTCAAGCAAAAGAAATATACAACGTATACACTAACAGAAGGCTAAAACCTGTGCCCTTTTAAAGTTCATACCATGAAATGAAATCGGTAATGTTTAGCGGATAATTGTTTTTGTGAATATCGATTGATTTTTAGAAGCCAAAAATTTATAAATCGCATTATCAGAGAAGTTTTTTTGCAGTAACGCGCTCTTGTCTTCAGATACCAAATGGACCTCCTACAAACACTGGAAGTTCAACGCCACTTCCTGTTACTACAGCGCCACTTGTTTCTCCAACGACAGTAACGCCTGCTACGACAACACAGTTTACTACAGTGACTACACTTCCTCCACCGTTTGTTCCGTTCTTTAACGATACAAGTAGTGAGTTTTACAATACATTAATCACACCAATTCTAAGAATATCATTGAAACCCATTATCCGATTACAGTAAAAATATCCATTGATTGTGTATGCGATAGGATTACCCAAGTTTCGTTTGTCATGTGACTATATAAAACATCTATCTATCAATGAGTTAATTTATCAATAGAAAATATTCAGTGTTGTCTTATTAATAGGAGATCCAAAAAAATCTTGTTACTTTCAATGGTATTTTAAAACGCGATGTAATGTCCTCAATCTTCGTAACGCTTCAATTATTGAAATTCAGACCGAAGAATTTCATCACAAAGCCTGTTTTTGATTCACCTTATATCATTTAATTAGAAATTTTTTTACGCACAAATGTTTTGACGCTAATCGTTACTCGTCATATCAAATTCAGATGGGAGATTTTTCATCTCTCAGCAAAAAAGGTACAAACAGAACATAAACAGCACAAAACAACACAGTAACAAAAACAAAAAATAAAAATAAAAATGATACACAATAGAATTTTTTTTTTAAATTCTTACGACATAATCCAGATCACCAATTCACGGAATTGTTTTTTACAATATTTTAATTGAATACGTTGATATGTTAAGGATAATACTACTCAGTTAACTTATTTGGCTGTTGGTTTAATATATTTCACATTGTTTTGTTGCACACTGTAACTAACTTAAATGACATTTTACTTAGATCTAGCGAAATGTAGAAAGTTTGATACCGTCAAGGCCCTTCTACAGTTTTCATACTTCTCTCATCCATCTACGCCAGAATGTCCAAACTCTTCGTCTCGAGCTACACCGGAAGCTATTCCGATATCATTCTGTAACGCACCGACAAATACGTTGTTATGGCGACCAAAAGGAAGGGTAAGTATAGATTAAATGCAATGTAATGGTCGGAAGATGAAAAGTAACAAATTCTTTTTGAATTATTTGCATGTTTTATTTATATCACAATTCCGTGATCTAGATTACACTGCGTATACATATACCATTGAAAGTAACATTCACTGGGTGATTTAGGAACAGTATAACACTTCATAGTTTGCTCTCGTTGCGACCTTAAACGAAAATTCTTTTTCTAGGTGCCGACTATATTTCTTTTTTTTTTTGGTAAAAGTCCGACAATAATTTGACTTCATATAACTACATTTCACATTTATGGTAAAATTTGTATTGCAATATACTATGAGGTGATTACGCAAAGTTCAGCACAACCTAATTAAGTACATCAAACCATGCTCTTTCCGAGAGGTTTTTATAAGCCGGGATCCAATTTTGTATTAGTACCTAAAAGTTGTTTCCCTTTGGTAATTCAAAAATGAACTGTTGCTTGATTGAGATGCTATTAAGATAATAAATTGAAGCATATTAGGTGTAAAAACTACGTATGATAATGATTGCAGTGCGCATGACACGCGGATTAAGCTTGATACCAAATGCTTTAGAGGCCAAGGACATCAAACGTTTTTAAAACAAATCGGTCTCGACCCGCAATATTTTTAGGTGCCTGTCCTAATTCTGGAACTTTGTCAGTAAATATACATTTTTTCGTATGTCACATCTTGTAGTTTTTCGCTCTGATAATACATGTAAAAAGTAATCGATTATTTAAAAAAAGTCAGTAAATAGATAAACAGCAAACTAACAACAAAAATAAAATACAACCAGAAAACACTGGGCTAAATCAAAACTTTGTCTATCAAAAATATAAAAATAACAAGATGGAGGTTTCGTTTGTACCAAAGTTGATATCCATATTACAAGGGAGAGGATCTTAGATGCTTGTAAGGCACTCATCATTAATCTTTTGTAGGGTTAGGGGCTGCACGTTTTTTTATTTAATAAATTATTTAGTTCTAAATTGTTTCAGAATTTTTTGAAAATTAGAAAAAAAAAAAGATTCAATGTTGAGTTGCAAAATTCTTGTTCCTGTTTCTTTCTTAAAAATAAATCCCCAAAAAGAGTTTGTCCTAAGAAGAAAAACAACATACCCCCCTACTAAAATAAATGGTATGTGCATAAGTAGTTTTACCAAATATAATGACAGGTGATTGATAACTGTGAGAGGATCCCTATGTACACACGTATTGGTGTGTTCAGCAGTCAGGGTTACTATGACTACGACACTTCCATTCGTAAATGTGGTGTTTTCCTGGGATGTTTGAAATTAGACTCAAAGGTCATAGGAGTGAAGGTGAGTGTAGTATATATATATATATATATATATGTCTCATTGTTGTTCATATTTTTAAATCTGTTGTGGAAAATAAGGGAAAATCATTTCTGTTTTACTCTATTTAATGAATGGCTATTATTTATTTTGAATTTATTGAACCATAAAATTAATTTTTGACTCTTCACATTGAATAATCCGCGAAGCGGATTATGTAAAATGTGAAGAGTCAAAAATTATTTTTATGGTTCAATAAATTCAAAATAAATAATAGCCATTCATTTTAAATAAATTTCTATCAAAAATCAGGCTCAAAGAGCTTTTTGATCCTTTTTATATTATTTATATTAACAATAACAACGTACACACATGTTGGCGTATGAATACACATACCTTTATTTTCGGCTATTAATGGCTATTATTTATTTTGAATTTATTGAACCATAAAAATAATGTTTGACTCTTCACATTTTACATTTTATACCTTTATTTTCGGCTATTAATGGCTATTATTTATTTTGAATTTATTGAACCATAAAAATAATTTTTGACTCTTCACATTTTACATAATCCGCTTCGCGGATTATTCAATGACAACATTGAAAATAAAGGTAATACTTTTAACCAATCAGAAGACAGTAAATACACCAAATTTATTTATTTGAGAATTTTGTATTGGACATTTTGCGGTGTGTGTAGTATTTTTATAATAAACACGAACTATTACATGTATTTGTAACATTTTGCGCTGGCAGACAACCATAAACAAAATAGGTAGAATTTACATCAGCAAAATAGCATTGAATAGATATGATAATGAGATCGTTGGAGTATGCCAAAGAACTTCAAGCATAAACCAAAGCAACAATACAAAAACACAAACGACATCTTTCTTTAATTTGATTTTTTGAGATTGATTTTAATTGCATATTAATTTAAGATTAATACTCGACTTTATCACGATTTATCAAAATACAGCTTTTAGTTATCTATATGCTTTCGTGATTTGCTGAAATTGTCAGAAAGATTAGCAGTAATTGTCGGAACCATATGCGTGTTAAATAAATGCTGTGAAACCGACCTTTAAATCTCTCACTCTCGAGCATTTCTCACGCATTCTATTAACGTATTGATTGGTGTTTAACGCCACTTTCAGCACTATTGTGCTACTTCGTGACGGTCAGTTTTTATTGATGTAGGAAGCCGGAGTGGCAGGAGAGAACCTCCTTAGGAAAACCGACAATCCTGGTAAATTAAGATTGGAATCGAGCGCACCTTCCACGTGCGGGATTCGAACTCACAACCTCAGTGTTGACAGGCTTGTGATACAGTAGTTTTATTTTTTAGACCACTCGGCCAGCGAGCCCCCTAAACATATTGAAAAGAAGCACGTAAATTCCGAATCCTTGTACGACATTGAATAAGATATAATTTTTTTTTTCAGATTGGTATGCAAGTTTGTGGACGACCTTTTGATATTGAGAATGCTCGTTTTTCAAACGAAAAAGACTTGTTGAACCTATATGTGTTTTAAATTAAATTAAAAAGTATATCGTTTATTATCTCTTCGTTTGTAAACATAATATTTACATTTTTTAAAATCTAAAATTTGCTCTTTATTCAATATCTGATACTTGACAAATCCCCGACTAGTGTTACATGTGGAGCGATAAGCCATCCTGTCGTAGCACCTGAGACTACCTCAGATTTTTGATGGGGTTATATTGCTAAACTTTAGTTTCCTTTGTTGGGTTTTTTGCCATGGCATTGTCAGTATGATTGTCATCGACTTATGATCTTGAATATCCCTTTGGTATCTCCAGCCTTCTTTCGAAAAAATAACTAAAATCTATTAAAATACAGGATTACTTTTAATATGAAAATATTGTTAGTACATTGCCTAAAAACATCGAAATCTATTGAGAGCCGCTTATAAACCTATGATAACATGGAAAAAAGACACCTACTTACACGAACTTAGTTTCTGTCATCCAGCCGATTAGTTTTACAGATATATTTACTAGTGCATCTAGCCGGGTAATTCAGACGAACATAAACTACGGTAGCAAGTCCATCAAAAGTTGTAGCCGATGATGCCAACGATAAAAAAAGACAAACGCAATGTTCAGAAGATACAAAGGGAAAGACTGACAGAAAACCGGACAAACCGACAGTTCAAAAAGTACAAGCAAAAAACTAATGTTAAAGCAACGTTACCCAGCCCAGATGACAAAATTCATTGACAGTTGTCTTTTTTTATTTTCGTGATATGTGCGATTATCGGCTTGTCTGTTCCATTTGAATAGTAATCAACGTATATAATGCAATTTATATTGGTAAACATTTTAATTAAATAACAATGAGTAATTGTATTACTAATACGGTATTGTTTATTATCATTTTGACTAATTGTGTTTTTGTTAATTATTTTATCGGTATTATAGAATAAAGGAATTTTCCTGTACTGCTCTTTGTTATGTTCTATAAAATACCTTTTGTTGAAGTACTGATTAAAATCAAAAACCTGTGATCTCAAAAAAGTTAGTTCAACCACGTTACATGTCAACGTGCTTGTCCAAAGCAATGCATCTCGTTCTGTTTTCTCTGAATGTTTTGCATGGTAGATCTTAGAGATTTGTGTCTAAGTCATTCAGAACTTTTCTAGACTAGGGACGATCTATAAATGAAAAAAAAACACTTCAAAAATTTCGTCCGTCTCAAGCACTTTGGTAGATTTACCTTCACTAGGAATGCTCAAACACAAACATTTGACTACTATGAGTGTATAAATACGTTGAATACTATGAGTGTATAAATACGTTGACTACTATGGTTGTATAAATACGTTGAATACTATGAGTGTATAAATACGTTGACTACTATGAGTGTATAAATACGTTGACTACTATGAGTGTATAAATACGTTGACTACTGTGGTTGTATAAATACGTTGACTACTGTGAGTGTTTAAATACGTTGACTACTGTGAGTGTATAAATTGACTACTGTGAGTGTATACATACGTTGACTACTATGAGTGTATAAATACGTTGACTACTATGGTTGTATAAATACGTTGACTACTGTGGTTGTATAAATACGTTGACTACTGTGAGTGTATAAATACGTTGACTACTGTGAGTGTATACATACGTTGACTACTGTGAGTGTATACATACGTTGACTACCATGGTTGTATAAATACGTTGACTACTGTGAGTGTATAAATACGTTGACTACTGTGAGTGTATAAATTGACTACTGTGAGTGTATACATACGTTGACTACTATGAGTGTATAAATACGTTTACTTCTATGTGGTTGTATAAATACGTTGACTACTATGAGTGTATAAATTGACTACTGTGAGTGTATAAATACGTTGACTACTATGGTTGTATAAATACGTTGACTACTATGAGTGTATAAATACGTTGACTACTGTGAGTGTATAAATACTTTGACTACTGTGAGTGTATAAATACGTTGACTACTGTGAGTGTATAAATACGTTGACTACTGTGAGTGTATAAATACGTTAACTACTGTGAGTGTATAAATACGTTGACTACTATGGGTGTATAAATACGTTTACTACTATGAGTGTATAAATACGTTGACTACTATGAGTGTTGAATACTATGGTTGTACAAATACGTTGAATACTATGGTTGTACAAATACGTTGAATACTATGGTTGTACAAATACGTTGAATACTATGGTTGTACAAATACGTTGAATACTATGTTTGTATAAATACGTTGAATACTATGGTTGTATAAATACGTTGAATACTATGAGTCTATATATACGTTGAATACTATGAGTGTAGTGTATATATACGTTGAATACTATGAGTGAATAAATACGTTGAATACTATGAGTGTATATAAATACGTTCAATACTATGAGTGTATATATACGTTGAATACTATGAGTGTAGTGTATATATACGTTGAATACTATCAGTGTATAAATACGTTGAATACTATGTGTGTATAAATACGTTGAATACTATGATTGTATAAATACACAGAAACGTTAGGAGCTATTTGACCAAAAGTGACCAGCTATAACTTGACATATTGCATAGACACATGTCGATTGTTGCACATCTGTCGAAGGTATTTAAAACGATAATATATGTTTCTTGAAGTTTCCAAAAACAATTGACATCAACCATGATATATACCAATGCACATTATCAATAAATATTAATGTCAGAAGTTGATAACAAAATTATATAAAAAGCAAAGGAGCATGGCTTTTATTCCTGTTCTCCATCTTAGAATCACAGTTCTATTCTGATGCAATAGTTTTGTAAGTGTCACATAATTTAGTCTTTAAAAATACGATCCTAAGATAAAATAATTGATTTTCTAATCTTGGTTGAATTTTCACATTTTGTCATGTCGGAGCCTTTTATAGCTTACTGTATATACGGTTTTAGTTTTGCTCATTGTTGAAGGCCGTACGGTGATCAATAGTTGCTTAAACCTACGTCATTTGGTCCCGGGTGGATAGGTGTCTCATTGGCAATCATACCACATCTTCATATTTTAACCTCCGTGTAAATACTGCATTTATTGCAGTTTCCTACGTCATTCATACAAACACTTAAACATGGAGCAAATCTCTTATCATTGCAAGTTTAAGACGGTTCCTAGCACACAGAAAGCTAGGTGACATATACATATCTGGTTTGCTGTTTACTGTCACATTGACGTCCTAATAAGGAACCAGTAATTTTGAAAAGACATAAGTACTGTTGCACAATGTCCCGGATGTTTGCTTATATACAGTCTAATTCAATTCAGTACTTTTGTTTATTACGTAAGTGTTTTTGGGGACACACACAAAAATTTACTATCTTTGATATTTTGTTTTAATGTCTGATTTACTGTAAGTTTTTTGTGTATTTTAAACGCAATTTGGCTATACTTTAGGTCCTTTTTGGTTTGATCAGCTCTTCAACGATTGTATAAGTTTTGGTTTTTCAAATATTTTGGCCTCGGGCATCGCTGAAGAGACGAGCATTGTCAAAATGACCATCTGGTGCAGTAATACTGGTGCCGTTAATATTATTGTCTTTTGTTTCCTCTTGCTTGACCTTAGTTTGAGCCATTAAATTTGAAAAGACAAAATTAAGTACTGTTGCACCATATCGCAGATGCTTGTATAATGCCTGATTTATTTCCTTATTTTATATTATTTCGTGATGTTTTTGAACACATAACAAATTTTTTTTTGCATTGTCTTTGATATTTTTTTTTAATTAGACTGAGATGTCTTGTTTACTGTAAGTTGTATGTTTTGTTTGTTCTCGCATTGACGTTCTAAGTTTGGAGACAATTAAAAACTGTTGCTTGTATAAAATCTGATTGAATTCTCTATTTTGGTTTACTTCGTTATATTTCTGAGTACAAAACAAAATGTTCATTATCTTTAATAAGAAAAAAATATCACAGATTTCTTTACAATACTACTAGACGAAACCATGTTAACACGAATGGTAACATGAAAAATAACAATGATCAGACAAATATTCTGTCGTCGTTAAAAGGTCTTCTAAATTACCGATCTTCTGAAAATCTAAATACATTTACTTCATCTAAATAAATGTACTTCCAAGACTGCAATAAAAGAATTTTTGAAAATCGAAATAAATGTACTTCAAAGACTATAATAAAACAATTATATCCATAACAAATTGATGATCATTTATCACAGATTTCATTTAAATAACGAAGACATTACCAACAAAGATAAACTTTTTAAGCATAAGCTAAAAAAAAACAAGGCTTTGATTTGAAACTGTCACAATCCCTTCTAAAAACATTCATTTGAAATTCATTCTCGTGTTGAAGAGCGTATTTTGAACCAAGAATAAGATGCCTTACGATATTATGTGTTGTTCGCTTGATGTCTCCTTGACGTATCTACTCATTTTTGTCAAATTTTGAAATTATCCTTTCAGGTGAAGGAAGAAGTGATATCGGATCATTTTATCATTACAATAGTTAGTAAATTAAAAAAAATATTCATGTCTAGCTGAAGACAAATGTTGTGTTGATCACTTGTTTTCTAAATGAAGCTCCGAGATGCAAAAAATAAAATAAGCAATATCTACAAATGACGACTGGCGGTTTTTAACCTCTAAGATTTAAAAGAGAAAAACAAAGATAAAAAACATATACTGAAAGCACTTTAAAATTTACATTTCTGCGTCTAGGGAGAAAAATCGAATGATTCGTCTCGCCTCCTGAGATAGCGTGTTCTTATGTTGTGATAGTAAAAGTTTGTTGTGTCTTGCTGTAACCGTAAGTTTCCATGGAAACTGTATACCTCGTTGTATTCCAGTCCCTTCATAAGAACCGTTGTATGTAACTCTGAGTACAGTTGCCCTATCCCATGATGCAACATAAATATGACCACTACATAACGCGATTCCGGACGGAAATCCAAGATCCGGGTGCAGAAAACGCCAACGGATGTCTCCATCGTACGTTAGACAGAGAAGTTCCGGTTCAGGGTATTTTTGGTCCGTAATGAATATTCGCTCCTTTACACCGTCAATTGCGACATATGTGAATTTCGTGCGATCAAATGAATGTTCCTCGTGTTTTCGCCATCGTCCAATGTGCTTAACGTAGATTTGGAGTTTTGTGCTGCTGCAGACGGCTAGATGACTATTGTCATGGCTGATTGATTTTGCTTTAAGACCTGTTTGGAACGAGGCTCCGTACTTTAATTCTCCTTGTCCATACACATTTATAGCTAGAAGATTGTCAATATCCGGCCTTGTCACAAGTAACTCGGTATTTGAGATAGTCGTAGTATCGTAAGGAGCCGGTGCCACCACAATTTCTGAAATTTTGACATAAGTGGTATCGTAAAGTGATACTGTTTCATTGGCATGATCAACAACTATCACATTGCCGTTATCCAAAATAGCTATTCCAGTGATCCAAGATGGCTGTTTACTTTGTTGCGATACTTCAATGTGTGCTCCCTCACTTATATAAAAACCGCTGGCCCCACGTGTCTCAGCATAATCAACGGACGAAGCAGACCGAATGCGTTGAGACTGCACTGTACGAGGGCGGTCATCCCGATCGCCTCCAACGCCAAAAGATGGGCACGATGAATTTGGTGAAAAATCTCGTCGTCTGCTTGTAGCTGACTTGGATGGTCTTGGACAACGTTGACTTGGAGTTGGCAAAGAAGCAGATTCAGATGATGAAGAACATAGTGTCTGGGGTATTCCATCGTCTCGTATAAATTCAACACTCCCAAAGGACTGGAAATCAGTTATGAAATTTTCTATTGACGAATTAATTTGGAAGTCAATCGTGTTTCTGAACGTTTTCCTCGAGAGTTCTCGGATTTTTCTGCTGTTGGCTTCGTATTCTTTTTTCACGTTTTCCAATGTATTTGCCATATCTTCCGCGTCTTCTTTATCTCTGGCTTCCTGTAGACTTTGAAGAGACCTTTTACATTTTTCATTGGCCTTTTGGCATTTGCGAATATCGGATTCAATTTTGTGCACCTCCTTCGATTTGAGTTTCGAAAGCTGGTTGATAACTTTTTCTTCCTGTGATTTTATGAGATCGGTTGCCTTGCGACTTGTTGTAGTTATTCGGCTCTTTATTTCCTCTTCCGATTGGTCGATTCGGCTTATAATTTCCTTTCTACTGTCCATTAGATGTTCTATTTCGTTGCATTGATCAAATAAGTAGGATATGTAACGCTCCTCTGTGCTATCTGTTGAAGGAGTTACTTTGCGTGGAAGATCTTCCGCTTCTTCCCGTGAAAGAACCTCGTCACACTTCCGGTGCTGCAAAGAGCACAACGAGCATATGTACAGTTCATGATCAACACAGTAAAATTCAAGTTCTTTGTTCGGATGGACGGCGCATGGGTTTAGGTAATAGGGTCTTGGCGTAGTATATGCGGAAATCATTGATACAATGTTGTGATTGTTTGGTAAACTTTCAACCCATAGATGTGGGGAAAATTCCTTCCCTGTCGGAGCGAGAACGAATCCTCTGCAAACTGGACAGTGGTATCCCATCCGGCGTGCAAATTCAGAATGATGAAGAATATGATCACCGATACATTTCTTGCAAAACGTGTGTAGGCATGGCAACGATTTCGGTTCGTCAAAAATGTCAAAGCAAATTGTGCACGTGATTTGTTGTTCTGCTGTTTGTATTACTGGGTCCGCCATTTTCGTTGTCTTGGGAATCAGCTGAAAATAAATGTGAATTTGAGAAAAGCTTGTGACTTCAAATTTATTACATAACATATTTAGACTTAATCACATCTTTGTCGTGTGGTTTTATTACAGCTTTCACATTGGTTATCATACATTATATATATTTTTGCTTACATGTTACTATAATAGCTAACTGTCACTGACTTCGAGCAGAAGAGTGTCTAGGTGGGGTTAAAGGAATAGAGAATAATGGGCAAAAATATAGAGTATAGAAAAAATTGGGGGTGGGGGAAGAGTATAAGAATAACTCTGGAAAATTAAAGATTTAAGTAAATCAGAAATGAAAGACGGACAGAATAAAAGAATCATATTATTACAGAAAAAAATAATAGTAAACTCATTTACATGAGAGTCTTACAGAATAAGCATTCATTTGTTAGTTTAAAAGATAAAAACAAACGTTAAATTTACAGAATACAGAAATAAAAGATTCTCATTCAAAACACTCATAGAAAATTTTACAGCATCGTCATTGTTTGACAGACTCGGGACACTACTATCAATGAAGCACGTAAACTTGTACACAGGGACATTTTGGTATACTAGAATAGTACGAAATACAAGTTCTTATTCCACATCTTTAACAGAGGGGGATTTAAGGGGCAGGGTGCCTGGCCCCTTATTGATCAACATATATGGTTAATGCATGCGCATAGACTTTTTATATGTTCTAGATAGAAATAAGAAGATGTGGTATAAGTAACAATGAGACAACTTTCCATCCAAGTCACAATGTGTAAAAAGTAAACAATTATAGGTCAAAGTACGGACTTCAACACGGAGCCTTGGCTCACACCGAACAGCAAGCTCTTAACGTAACTTAGTTTCCCCTTTTTTTCAAAATATGGGTCCGTATATATATGTTGTTTTTCAGTAATAAAAATGCGATGTCGCGGGTGTGTTCTAGTATAGTATATATATATATATATTCTAAAATGCCTGTAAGATTTAGGCAACTTGTATATTGACTAATGTTTTCATGCATTTTACATAATGCCTAGAAAAATCTGTACCGATACAGTGTGTTAAATGTCCTCAATTATACCATGGCCCATGGTAGTGCTCTTATTAAAGGAGGAAGATACAGAACATACATACATATGACATATACTATTGGTATCGATACCGGATTTGACCCAGAACTTGTTAATTATTGGCAATATTAATTATGTGGAAAACAAAAGGGTCTGGAATGGTGTAATTTTTAATCAACACCATTGTCCTATACATGTATTAGTTATATATAAAGTTGTATTCTTTGATTCGTCGTGTTTACGTCATGACGGCTAACAAATTGGACCTCGTTGTTATAGTATTATAGATTGGCCTGATTAAAAAACCCATTAAAATTGTAATGCCAATCTTAAACTTTCGAGGTATTTTTAAACACGCTATAAAGTTTTAGTAAATGCTAATTGAAATAAAACCATGTGTTTGTCAGTAAACGTGAGGTATGTGATAAAATAGAAAAAAGCCTTTTAAATATTTTGCATATAAAAGTACAGAATTTCATCCGACGCAAGTAGTATAGAATATGGTTTTCAATGCGTTTGAAGAATCTATAATATTATTAAATAATAATAATCAAAAAATTAATGCCATCAAAATACTGCAAAATATTCTTAATTTCTACACATATATATATATATGAAATCACATTGCAGTTGTCGTTACTGTTGCTCTTTGACCTGTTAATTTAATTGACGCTTTTCAAATCATCATTTCATTTTTTACGTCTTGTCTACTTTTATAAGTTAAAGTTAAAACCGTCGATAAGGAATATTACACGAATTTACCTGTCCGATAACTTGTGTATATATATATTAAATTATTATTAAATACAGTTGCGGATCCAGGGGGTTCCGGGGGTTGGATTTGACGATCAATGCATTTGAATGGGGACATATAGTTGATACCCCCCTTTTATCCTGGGTTGGGAACCCCCTTTTAAAAATGGCTGGATCCGCCCCTGAAATAACATTATATATTTGTAAATATTTTAATTTTTCCTTGATCCTTATGTTTAATTTTCAATTGAAAAAAAAATTGTTTTGCTTATTTATGGACTTGCAACGTTTGTATGATTGTACTATTCGAATAGGACACCACGATTGGATAATAAAATATGTTTATGTCTGTATACACAAATTGCATTCGTAGACAGGAAAATGCTTCAACATGTTCCAGCCGCCGAAACAGCATGTTGTTGTTTACATTCCGAAAAAAAAAACCCAATGTTCCCTGAGAATTCTTCATATTTCAAAATTGTATACTTTATTTCTAGTAAGAACAACAGGAGTAAGAAAACATAAACATACCTGATCATCAGGAATTGGCGTCCATTTTAATTTTCTTTTTAAATGACTAAAATCCACTTCTGTGTATTGATCGGATAGTTTACATTTAAATTCTAAAGGTGTATTGATTAAGAAATCGATAATATTGACAACTTGAGTTTAGGGTCACGATTTTGTATACTATCTTTTTTCTTCACATTGTATAACTTTTTACACGTTACATGCATTAGGATTTAAACAATTTAAATGATTTAAATTTGTAACGGCTTTTGTCTCTGACAAGAATATTATTCTATTATGTCTATACTGTTATAAAAAATCAAAGTTTTTATTGGATTTTAAATGTGTGAATGCACTGTTTGCAATCATATTCCAGAATGAGCTTTCATAATTTACGGACTTCGCCTTTGGTCGTTTTATTTTGGGCTGGAGAGAAAGTTTACATAATTTTGTATCATTTTATCATTTAATTATCCAGTACCTGATTGATTGATTTTTGGTTGCTTAACGTCCAGTGGCAAATATTTCATGCATGTTCAGGACGAGAACTAATTAACTATAAATACAATAGGTAGGTCCTGTAATAGAGGTCGTCTGGAATGAAGGTCGGGAATATGTGGACTGGGACTGGAAAAAAGGGTATATTTGATAGGGACAGACATTTTACATTGCAACAGGCCACCTACGGACACCCAAAAGAGTTGTTACAAGACTTAGGGTTAATCAACGTACAGAGAGGGTGTCACTCTCTCTACACGAGGCATCGGATTTCACGTCTCCATTCTGACCTGACGTGGTTGCTTACTTGTACATCCCGCACAGCCAAACGGACGCCCCACTTAGGCTAGGGTTTTATTACCGGTAGAACTGTAGTGACCTTATTTCTATTCATCGGTCACCCTTTGGGTATCCAGTACATGATAAATCAAAGATAATTCTATACCTAATGTAAAATTACAAATCGAATACACGTTAAAGCGAAATTTGTGACATCCTTAGGCCACACCAATTTGATTAATATTTCTTTGGATTTTCCCGCTCCTGTTTTGGAGAAATTGACTTTTCAATAAAAAAAAAATAATTACCGCTTCCGCCAATTTTTGGGCCGCATGCCGCTCCAAAATTAGTTTATCCTTGACATTTTTTTTTCTCTTAGACGTTTTTCTCGTGCATATATTGCTCCAAGCGATTCAAACGCACGTGTGATAAATCGATTTGTAAATAAAAGGTCAAAAATCGGGATGCCAACATGAATTTGTGTCATCAGATCATTGCCGAGGACACGTAGTTATTAAACACACAGTTGTTTGAAATGCATTTCGTTTTACCTGTTCTAGGAGACAAAAATAAAAAGTCCGAGATTACTCCGACGTCCAACAGCTGTTTGCCAGACAAGATGGGGGGGGGGGGGGGGGGGGGGGGGGGCTGTTGTCCCACGGCCCCAGCTTGTCTGCCAAAACAGCCGTTGGACGTCAGAGTAATCTCGGACTACAACAGACATAGATATCTAGAGCTATTCGTCTTGGATGAAAATAATATTAAATTCACATGAATTTTTGAAAAATTACAGATTTATCTTATTTTAACGAAAACTCCATATCCCCTTGTTAGTCTATTGACATGCAATCAGAACTCTTTTGTAAGGGAAAATTTAAGAGTTCCAACATTCGAGACCAAAGTGGTGGTATTGGGATTGGCATGCTAATAATAATTAGGGATGTATTATTGGTGCAACCACTTCCAGTTTGAAATACATTGCAGGTTTCAGGGGCAAAAGGAAAAAGTATTTTGCTAAGTCAGAAAAATGCATGTGAATGTGGTTAAATGTATTTTAAGGGAATAGATATAGGAAGATGTGGTATGAGTGCCAATGAGACAACCCTCCATCCAAGTAACAATTTATAAAAGTAAACCATTATAGGTCAAGGTAAGGCCTTCAACACGGAGCCTTGGCTCACACCGAACAGCAAGCTATAAAGGGCCCCAAAAATTACTAGTGTAAAACCATTCAAACGGGAAAACCAGCGGTCTAATCTATATAAAAACGAGAAACACGTATGAACTACATAAACAGACGACAACTACTGTACATCAGATTCCTGACTTAGGACAGGTGCAAACATTTGCAGCGGGATTAAATGTTTTAATACATTGAGATCTGCATGCATAGCAATATAATTATCTTACTCAGGATGTTGTTGAAATATTCACCTCACTCATTATGTTGATCCTATTATGGATAAATAGTTCCAACTGGATGTCAAGCAGCCAATAAACAATCATTACCATATAATGAAAACAACTATATCAAAAGGTATTTAATATTTTTCATGGGCATTTTTTGGAATACATACACATATTTTAATTGTATTCAACACATTTCATTTACCTAACTAACATAATTCCTCTTGCTAAACTGCATCTGATATGCTTCCTTAATATATACACATGAATGAATTTAAATGAAAATTCACGCAGTCAAATAAAATTGAGAATGGAAATGGGGAATGTGTCAAAGAGACAACAACCCGACCATAGAGCAGACAACAGCCGAAGGCCACCAATGGGTCTTCAATGCAGCGAGAAACTCCCGCACCCGGAGGCGTCCTTCAGCTGACCCCTAAACAAATATGTATACTAGTTCCGTGATAATGGACGTCATACTAAACTCCAAATTATACACAAGAAACTAAAATTAAAAATGATACAAGACTATTAAAGGCCAGAGGCTCCTTACTTGGGACAGGCGCAAAAATGCGGCGGGATTAAACATGTTTTTTGAGATCTCAACCCTCCCCCTATACCTCTAGCCAATGTAGAAAAAAAAACAAACGTACAACAGTACGCACAGTAAAACTCAGTTTAAGAGAAGTCCGAGTCCGATGTCAGAATAGGAAGCAAAAGAAAATAAACAAAATGACAATAATACATAAATAACAACAGACTACTAGCAGTTACTGACATGCCAGCTCCAGACCTCATTAAACTGATTGAAAGATTATGTCTTCATCATATGAATATCAGGCACAATCCTTCCTGTTAGGGGTTTAGTATTATACCATCATAAAATAATTAGAAGAACATAACCAGTGTCATGCAAACAACTGGTTTTAGAATAAATATGTTTAATTCCGATGCAAAATCCCTATAAGTGAATCAATATTAAAGCCAACATATGCAATCTTTAATGACCTGACAACAGTATCGTAACTATATCCCTTCTTAATAAGTCTGTTTAAAGGTTTTGTTAGCTTTTGAAGCTTATTTGACGAAAATAATCAAAATTATACTAAACCAAAGCGAACCAAAAAGTTGGGTATGGTACAGACTGTACTACAGGCACAAAAATATCAACTTATATGCAGAAGAGCATATTTATCCTCCTTTTTCTTTGAAGTAACCCAGTTTTAACATGTACAAATATTCTAAAGCGCACAATTTAAAAAAAAATTATACCGCTCGCTCCACTTGTAGAGCACCCGCCTCAACAAAACCCATTTTCAAGAAATAAATACAATCAAAAAAATTTCGCTCGCTCGCCCCATATTTTTTGGAGCTTTTGTCCGAAGAACTAAAAATCAAATTAGTGTGGCCTTAGCAGATCCAAAAAAAGTATTTGTTTCATATTTTGGATCTGCTAAGGATGTCACAAATTGCACTCTCTCTGCACGTTGATAACCCTTGTAACAACTTTTTGAGGTGTCCATAGGTGGCCTGTTGCAATGTTAAATGTCTGTTCTTATCCAATATACCCTTTTTTCCAGTCCCAGTCCACATATTTTATACCTTTATTCCGAACAGCCTCTATTACATGGCCTACCTATTGGTTAATGGGTTGGAGGATTACCTTTCTTCCTTGTTTTTTTTATATCACTCAAGAATTGACTAAATTGTAACTGTATCCCCTATTGCAGTTTTTTAAAATTGTTTTTTAAATTAGGTTCACACCTATAGAAGAAATAAACTACTACGAAAAAGTGAATTGTCCATAGAACTCCTCAATTGATGTACATATAAAATACAATATAAGTATGTGTTTTGTCTTGGCCCATTTGCGTATTGCAAAAACAAAATAATAACAAGTAATTTAGTTGATCGTTAGCGATAAACACAGTGTAACCTACATTTGAATGTTTTAGATCTTTTACTGAAGCATTTTGTAGTGTTCGTCAAAATCCTGGGGGGGGGGGGGGGGGGGGGGGGGGGAGGGGGATGTAGCCAGTCAATACCGAGGTCCTGCACATGACAGGTGCGTTCGACTATTAATCAACTAGGAATGTCAGTTTTCATCTCTCCGAGCTCCCCTGCTTCCTCTGCCTATTAAAAACTGACCGCCATGTAATATCAAATAGTCCAGAAAGTGCCGCTAAACACCAATCAATCGATTTTGAAGTTGTTTTTCTTCAAATTTTCAAGTTGAGAAGGTACAGACCAGGGTGTAATTTATCAAAAGTTTATCGGTTTTATTGATAATAAAGAAGGAGCTTGATATCTGTAACATAATTACTAAAGAAAACAATCATCCAGTTAGTATAAGGTTTTATTGGATGGAAAACACCTGTTTTATCAAAGGTTATCGGTTTGATTGATAATTTCACGCGAGCTTATCTGTAAAATTTATTACTAAAGAAGGCAATCATACGGTTAGTATAAGGTAAAAACTTTAGCTTCATATTGGATTTTCAAAACCTTATTTTATCAAAAGTCACCCTTTTCCGCATTGGTTTTCGTATTTGTGCTGACTACGTCATGCGACCAAAGTCTGTAAAATGCCTAGCATTCCATTTTTTGTGGAATTCATGATTTGTTTTTGTGGACCAATACCACACCTTTCATTTCATGTTCATTGTATATACGTTCATCAGCTTGTTATGTTGTTTTCAGGCGCGGATCCAAGATTTGAGGAAAAGAAGGTGGGTTAATAATTTTGACGTGTTTTAAGCCAAAATATTCAATTTCATGGGAAGTCGCGACGGTTGGCCCCACCTGGGTCCGCCCCTGTTTTGTAGGGGGATGTAAAACACCACAATAAATAAAGAAGATGTGTTATGAGTGCCAATGAGACAACTCTCCATCCAAGTCACAATTTGTAAAAGTAA